GACGGCCATTCGCGAATAAAGTTATAGTGAGTTGCGCATATTAGATTGAGTTCCACGTGATTTTTTGAAGGGGACTGTCATTAAGTTTGTATATGTCCAAGAAAAATAATTGGGATAATTTCAGAAAAAGTTTCCGTTCGAGCATAACGTACCAACATGATTGACGTTGCATTTGTTAAAATATGTTTACCGTTTGACTTGAACCAGAACCTCACATTATTACCATTTGCGGTTGTAAGCAGCAGTAACAATGAATGACAGAATAAAATGTTATAAACTATTACTATTCAGATTTCAGCACACAAGGCAATCAAACTGGTTCCATTTAATTCAGTTGCAAAGAAATTGTGTTATAATACCCCTGACGTTGTTTTCAATGACTCGCGATTTTTTACACTTGATTAACCTACGCAGCATGGCCGTGCATTGACCAGATTTTTTCTGAATAGTTCCGACAAAGATTTCAATGGTAGGGACTGACTGTAGCGGTGACAATGCACCACAAAAGGCACAGGATGGTCGTATTGTTGCGTATTGTAACACGGCTGTTATTACTGGTTTTCATAGACTGACCGCTGATTCCGTTTATATTGCGGCTTGAGAAGTTGATTAGGATGTTGACAAAAAAAAAAAAAAAAAAAAACACGCAAAATTTAGATATTCGTCAAATAAAACGCAGTATTATGTTTAATAGTATTGCGATTTCAAAAACTTCATTGTCTATATCGGATCGGATCTTTTTCTCGAATCAATTTACAGCATCCTTTTTTTTTTCTTTTTTTTTGAATTATAAAGTTTTCCTAAATGCAGCGGAATATGTCGAGCGTACCACTTGAACGCCTGACGTGGTTGCTTGCAGCGCTGGCCGCTGGGATGAAATTTACCAGTTATATTTTTTCTAGTTACTCATTTACATTTCGATGATAATTTTTCATTTATACAAAAATAATATATCGGCACCTGAAATCTGAGTAGTAAGATGATTTATAGACTCTGGTACACTGATTTATAGTTGTTGTACATTTTATTAATAGATAATCGAAACCGCCAACGATCGAATGAAATAAGCTCTCGCTCATTTAAAGAGACAGTGAAACCAAATTTTGGTATTTTTGAGCAGGTTTAAATAAATATTTTTGGAAATACTTCTAAATAAAAACAAAATCTTACAATTTAGTTTAAAACATAAACGGTGTTTTAGCAGTAAACGTTAAAGTATTCGTAAGCAATGACGAAAAGGACCAGTGCGCATGCGCCTTAAATTATCTGTACATACAGATAAATAATTTCACCTTATGAATCATACTGCATTGTTCTTGCCTGAATAAAACCAATCATTAAAAAAATACTCAAAAATGCTAAATGTATTCACATTTTTCTCTTTAATGTATAATGAGTTCTTTTTTTAATCCGACTGCCTTGTTTCCGTTCTTCTCATACATTTATGAATAAATTCCCAACATAACTATAAGTGATTATTTAAACAGATGTTTCCGATCAAATGTTGTGTTGCCATGCAACCCGGGGACGCTATTCATGGCCCTTATCAGCGACTCAGTGAGAACATTTCGATATGCGTATCCATTACCGAATGACGCTTGTTTATAAATCGCCACCTTTGGCTGAGAATGTAGTTGTCGATTTAAAAAATGCAATTGCGACAAATGTCAATTGAAACATTAAACCTACATTAAACAAACCCATATTACTGAGAAGTGTATCGCCTTAAAACGTAAATGGTCTTTGATACAATAGCAATCATTGTCGAGCAGGTATTGTGAATGGCTATTTAAAGTAAACTTCTTTGTATACGCAGTCTCCGTTCACGAGAACACCTGCCTTGTATCGTTCCTCATCCGTGCTTCCGTCACGCGTTCCGCGTATATTGATATAGAAAGGTTACATTTAATTCCAGCACATCTTGTTCAATGCGAACACGATCGCATAGCTGAGAAAAAAAAAACGTATTTGCATTATCTTTAATCTATACCTGGCGAATATTGAGAAATTTCGTATCTACAATCTGCCAGTGTGTCGTAATTGGATAAATCGGCGAATTCTGCTTTTTGTAAAACACCGAGATTGAGTGATGTTGTATCAGCGTGACCGATTCTACCGTCGCCTTGGAATGGTACAATGGTAGGGATGTGAATTACTAAGTTTTTTTCCCCTTTCCACGAGCAATTCAATTTTCTACAATGTTGTACTGGTGATGTCGGCTTTTTATAACCACTAAGCCACTACCTTATTTTCGTTTTTCAAATTTTCAAATAACAAAAAAAAAAATTTCTGAAAATAAAAGATATGTATGAGTGAATACAATGACTTGATTGATATTACCCATCGTATATTGACGTTTTGGATGTAATAATCTTAAACTTATCCGAAAATTGGCCATAAATTCAGAAATCATTTCAATTTGCAGGCGCTTCTTTAAATCAACACAATAGTTTAGAAAAAACATTCCATGCATGACTTTTCTTGGGATATTCTCAGAACTAAGTAAATCAGAGAATAGAGGGAAAGAAATATAAATTATATAACCGATATTTTTAGTTGCAGCTAGTCGGAGGTCACCGGTTAGATCCACTTAACGGGGGCAGATGCTTTGTTCGGGTTTGTTTTTAACAGAACAACACCCATATTTATTTTGGTTGTTCTACGAGTATATTATAGTAGCAACTTATTAAATGTTCATTAGATCAACTGTGTTGTACCAATAGAGAAGGCTTGGAATGAAACATTGCAGTCATTTAAACAAGAATTAGCGATACAGCGTTCACCGTGGCTAGAACTTGTTTCGATGGCATTCTCAGTCATTGGACGTTGTTAAGGTAGCAGGTTAGTTTTTTGCATGAAAAATGTAAACACCTATAATCGGAATGAATTTTACAAGAAACCATACAATCTATATATGCTTGGAAAGCCCTTGGCTTGCATTTTTCTAGTATTAATATTTTGTGAACATTGTGTTTGTTTTAGCGTCACGTGATTCTGAAAATTGGCGGGGCTGATAATTAACTAACGTGAATACAATTGTAATTGTCATCTCAACAGTCATTCATGCGATCAAAAACTTTACACTGTTTTGAAGCAAATGTCATGAAGTTTTAATCCGTATTTCTTTTTTTGACATTAAGTTTTTTTTTTCCTTTCCGAAAATCACAAATTTGAAGCTCGTTTGCTGGTGCTAAAGCTTGTGTATACCGGTGGTTTGCGCGAGGTTTGTGAAAAAACCTAGGAAGCCAGCATATTCGAGAGTAAGAAAAACTAAACTGCAACATCGAAGCCGTCTTTATTTTATTCGCGTCAAGTTTGTTAATCGTATACATACATGTGCTTTGTAATCATTATGAACTTTGACGTGTATTTGACCATGGAAAATAAACGTTTTGATTCCCCTTCTCGTGATGGTTGGATCTCCCGCCTGTATCTAAGTTTGTTATTGTCAGTGCTTAATATGAAGTTATCACGAGGATATTGAAAAGTATGCAATAAGACAGTACAGCGGAAGTATGCGCGGAGGTCGGTGCGACCGCGTACTGTCTTTGTATATACTTTGTAGTTTCCTCGTATAGCCTTATAATTATACATCTTTCCTTCTGAAATCATACATCATGAGAATGCCGGAACCCAAAACTTTTAAACAAATATTTAGCGAACTTCGTTGTGTGGGGTCCGGTCAAAACCTGGGGGCTACCATGTTTGTTTTTATTATTCGAGAACGGTTACGCGCGTAGTCGTTCCATATTTGGCATTCGCATTTCCTAATATGGTAGGATGAAAATACCCCGTAAAATACCGCAAAATTACGCCACCCTGTAACTTATGGCGTTACAGTGACAGATGTAATATTTTATATCAAAACTAAACGCCAAAAAACAAACAAGAGACTGTGTGGAATTCAAATTTAGTATAAAAGAGGAATATGTAATCTACTTTCTAACACTAAATGAATTAATGACACAAACGCATGTCAAAACGAAGGAAAATATATACATAAATTATTAACATAACTTGTAATATGATGTAAAAATTCCCATCGACATAAATGTGGACATTGGAATGCGTGGCGGTACAAGTCAAGTTTGGTGAATTTAGCGACAATCGCTCTGAACTGATAGTAACAAATAAGAAATGGGACAAATTTATTTCGCACGAATACTTTCGCCCTCCACGGTGAATCATTTCGTGGTAGAGGCGGCGGAGAGAAGGGGTTATCATATGAAACATGCGCAGCGGTCTGATACACTAAACTGAAAGCTTGCTGTTCACATTATTGACCTAATGAACTACTCAGAGTAACATATACTAGTCTTTCAGTTAGTGCAAACCGTATAGAAATCTGATCGCTAAATCAGTAATGCGTTGGGAATACAACTTATTTTTGAGTAGGGCGCCGCCAACGAATGATATTGTTAAATCCCCTCATACGTATACACCGTATGTCAAAGCACACCACGCGGTTGTCAGTGACGATTTGCATTGTCAGACGCAATTCATGAATACATTAGATGCTTACAAGTACAGAAGATTTCACTCTGCCTATTAATTAGATAGACTAGATAAAAAATGTTGCTGTGTGTGTTTAATGTTGTTTTATGGAATATAACTGATTTACATTTTTTTTCTTTGATCGCATCAGGGAAATGGAGGCACGGTAGGTTGTAAATGAATGCAATGATATTGTGAATCAAGGGGGTGTATTTTTTTCATCCTGAAAGGCTGTTATCTGATTCTTGCATTCCACCCCATCAATTCCTTCCAGCCCTGCATGCCAGCCATGCATGCCCCAGGTTACGAGTCGACACGAAATCCCATTAAATACGCATGCTCATATTTTGCTGTTGTATTGTAGTCTTGACGTGATTCCATTATTTGAAAACGGAGACGTTCATCAATTATTCCCGTAACATGAAATAATGTTCATATATGGTGTTGTTGCTACTCGATACAAATTTATCTTAACACGACTTTTTTTTATTTATGTTTTTCTGCAGATTCGAACAAGACAATCGCGCGTACGAACAATGGCGTGGAAACTTACATCGCCACGGCTACTCAATGAATTCCCAGAATTTACAGACGGGATTATTTCTTCACCAGTTTACAAACAGCGTCAGCAAAGCCTTGCATAAAGACCACAGTAGACGCCACACTAAGCTGACCGCAGATGAACTTTACGCAAAGGCACACCCCGCAATTATATCCACAAAACAATTAACTGGTAGAAATTACGCACTTCACATACATTTGCCGACCAATGCCGAATTTGACCCGACCACAGTCGCTAAAGATCTGTTAGACCAGAGCAACACACCGCTCAAATCGCAGTTAGTGCGAGAAATCGGACACCAACCGCACATCAAGTTGAAGCCTAGTGTAGCGGACAATCAGGAACAGTCATATTACTTGCCAACCATTATGGAAATAACCGATAAGCAAGGAAACAGTTGGAAGATTCAACAGCAGGATAAAGAGAGCAAGTCTGCAAAAAGTAAAACCACGACAAAGTTAGATTTGATGGTACGCATACCACCCATATCGCCCACGGTAGAGAAGTACACCACAGACAACCACTCAAAAACAACTGATCCAATTGAGGCTGTCAGACAATCAAACAATGCCAACACAGAGCCGGCTAAGCTACCGCAAATTAATAAGCACAGGCAATTGACCTGGGAAAACGACGATGACTTAAGTAGCGAAAGAAGCGTATCGTTGAATAACATAGACTCCGATAACAAGTTTCATCCCTTGTTGACGTACAGTCGTTCTTTTCAAAACAGGATGAGTTATTCTAATTATCTGCGACAGATGTCACTCTTAAATTTACATCATCAAAGTAGTCAACCAGACAGACACGACCTCGTTGACGCATTACAAATCAGGGGAGCGAAAAATGCAAAAAATAGGTTCAGTAAAGAAATAGTCATGAAATCAGTAGAGGTGTATTGCCCTCGCGAGGAGCTGAACGATGAAGACAATCTGACTGTGACCACTCAACGATCTGATGAATTGGCGTACTTTAACTATAGAAATAGCGACATGTCATTACCACGATGTGTCGAAGTTGGAAAGAATTTGCCGAAAGACTTTTCCGAGAAGCAGAAACAGAAACAAAAATTAAGATCTATTTATCCAATGTATGATTGGCAACTTGAAAACCGCGACCGAGCTTTGGAAAATTTTGGGTATCCCGACTATAGTGGTCCAAGAAAGATGCCCAGCCTAGAAAGTTTGACGTCGACATTAAGCACTAAC